CAATATTGAAGCATTTATACGTGAATTACCGGTCGATATGTTAGAGAGAGTGTGTCAAAATAGGACCTTGCACATGGGCCATCTAAACCGGAGCCGCGTGCAACATTTGCATGAAATCATCTTCAAACATTGAATTATATTGACCCGTTCTATCGATTTCAATAAAGATTTCAACAATTCTTTCAAATTTTTTGTGTTGTTCTGAAAATCAAATCTTATGCCTCTCAAAAAATCACCCTTTATAAGCCTTGCTTGAAGATGGAAATAGTTTCGAGTGAGAAGAGACGCGGTATTGGTAGCATCAAAACGTGGATTCATCAAAATAACAAGTGATCCCAGGCTGAGATCATACCTAGGGAGGAATACTGGTTTGAGAGGAAGTTCAAAGAAGCTGATAACACACTTATGTGTGTTCACAGGGAGATTGACGGATTTCAACTGTTTAATTAAGTTACTCATGCACGTTTATAGACGCCCGTTAGCCGAACGACATCTAGTTTGAGAATCGAGTTCTTCGAAGTTATAAACTGTCTTGGCAATACCGAGATAGTGGAACGTTCAGAAGGAAAGCGACTTCATCCAGCTTCGAATCATCCCTCAACCCTTCATTTCATATGACGATCAATCCTCGTTTCCTCCAACTATGCTGAATTTCCCAAGAGTGGAATGTGGGAGCTAATTCCGTAGGAAATTGTTGCGTGAAAAAATCATCAGGCAGATATGCTGCTGGGAATTCTCCCAGGGATGCTTGTTCATTTCACTTGCCGGTGGTCTTGCTTGAATTCCTCCTCGTTGCAGAATGTTTCTTTCTCGAGTGAAAGCTGATTTTGGTGTGGTGAAATTTGAATGACTCTTTGAGTTGAAAGACCATTGAATTCGTTGTTACGCAAAGTACGGTTTCAGAACCAACACTACAAAATAGTATAGTTTCAAACCCAGTATTTGTACACTCCAAATGAATTTCTGTAAATTGCAATTGGTTTTTGAATGAATGATATGAAAGTGTGTCTTCATAACCAGGTCTAATTCTGTTCCATCCGTTCAAGTGCCTATCTCCAAAAATTCAATCTACTGTATTTATACCAATTCGGTTTTCGTACAGGTAGATCCACAGTTAATGCTGTCTGTCAAGTTGTCGCGGCGAACATAAAAGGCTTGAAGAAGGTTAACAATAATAATAATAATATTTATCATCCAATAAATTGATGGATGTACGTGTTAGGAGATCATAATGGAAAGAGAAATGAAAATTTCTATTTTTTTTACCACTTTTATTAAAGTTATAAAAGTGGTGGAAACATAGAAATTTTCATTTCTCTTTTCATTTATTTTTCACCATTTGTTATACATAGCGTATATATGGTGGGGCAATGATTGATTAAGTAAAACAGATGTTTTACATTACGTCACTTATGAATAAAAAAAGAAAAGAAATTGAAATTTGAAGTTGATATTTGCATAAACAAAGATATATGTAGTTTCTAGTTTTCTATAGAGCCATTAACTTTCTCTGGTAGCTACATTGATCAAAGTGATTAGAATCGCTGACAAAGTGAAGCTAATTCAACTGGAGATATTTTCTATTCTGTTCTCACTTTAGGCGGAAAAATACACAATGAACGATCCCGGTACACGATCTCATTCCGCTTCAGATTCGAAAATACATATACGACATGTTGATGGGGCCTCAGAAGCAATATTTGTTCTATTTCGACGTCGAATGCAGATCAGGGTCGGCCCTAGAGATATTAGCGACCCGCAGAATACATTAGGCGCTGCCCTCCGAAATGTTTTCTCTTTGTCAGCAATATAATTTATGAAGGAGTAAAATAATTTGTATAGGTGTAGATGAATATTTGATTCTGAGCTTTTCTGCCATCGATTAAGCTTAACTTAACATTTTAAAGAAGGTTGTTTATATTTTGATCAACACTAGTGCAAGCTGTAGACGTGGTTGTCAATTTTTTTGAAACAAAAATCTAGACAAGAGTAAAGGTTCACAAAATTGAAAAAAATTAGATGCTGAACTGTCAGTGTTTTGCTCAGAGCATAATCTGCCATAGCTGATTGTTTTGTGTATCCAGTTTACAGCCTCTGAGCAATGAGCGTGAAACAGACTGCACAGAGCTAGTTTGTGAGGCATTTGAAATATAGCGTCTGGACTATCTGAGGAGATTAAACCGGCCAAACAACCTGTACGTGATCGGTCAAGAGTAGATTTCTCTGCTACGGCCAGTCATCAATATTGCGAAACTCTCATCTCAACCATGGAAACAAAAATACCTCTGATGATGCTAGCCACCCGGGTTGACGAAACGAAAGGATGAAATTCCAATGAACGACGGCCCAAAAACCAGAAACAGCAGTTTCAGCATTGGATTTGTTCCTATATTTTTATATCACCGTAGTTTTGCAGCCCTACGGCCGGCACTGTCCAGATATACGCACGGTGGCTTCACCGGAAAAATGAGATCAAAGAAAATATTTGTACAGTGTACAACGAACTGACTCATTATAATTGTAAATGAGTTTTCTCGACAAACCTCATCTGTTTTCATTTCCTTGTGAAAACACCTTCGTTTTAAAATAGTTTCATTGACGTTTTTCGATCGCGGACTTCCTTCTCATTACATTAAAGCCTTGTTTTCGAAGAGAAGAACGACTCGAAGGCTTTTTTGCTTGCACTTCGTTATTTCGCTCCATTATTTTACTTTCCATTAATTCCCCAAGGCTCGGAAACTTTACCTTAATGGAATGAAAACATTCTGTGGCACATCGAAACTTGAATAGCCAGCTATATTTTAGTGGAAAATCAACGCAGCTCCTGAAAAATCAGGAGTGTTTCAATCAAAATTGTGGAAAACTGTTAACGAAAATGTGGTTCTTTTGTTAGTGTCCAACAAATTGCTGAATATTTGTTATGTTTCAACATTATGGGCAATCAGTGATTATATTTCAACAGACATCCTTCACAAATATGCCAACTAGCTTTGAAAAAAGTATAATCGAGAATCACGGAAAGTTTTGGCATGCTGAGTTGGGTATTTTCAAGGCCTCTGATTGGCTCGAGAAGGTAACGACGTGAGTCAGTAACGGCACGTTCCAAGTCGAAAGTTTTTTCATCTACAGTGAAATAAAAATTTGGGACTCTTCATCAACAATGGCCTTAGTGTCATTCGCTTTGGAAATGTGATGAATATAGATAACAAAGGATACAGAGCACCTGTGTTCGTCTCATATGTGGCTTATGTAGAAGAGTCATGTAACGAATGGTTTGATATCTGTGGGTTCAATGAAAATGGCTCAAAGTAGAGCATACTCTTAGAGATCTTGACTAAAAAGTATCCTTTCTCTTCATACCATAGAATACGATTCGGAACGTAATATAAATAGTCTCTTTAAATCAACCATAACACCATCAATCCACAGAATATCTCTCTTCAAAGGCAAGTATTTGTCCAGGTAATATCCTTTGTGTTGGTGTTTCTCATTGTTTCTAGGAATGTGTATTGTTTTGTGAACACACTTTTTTTTCTTTTCTTTATTGATTCTCCCATGGTTACACAACAAATCTCCTTTTTCCATGGCAATATTTTTTTGAAAGGCTTCACAGAAAATGGCTCAGGCGAAGATCTCTGGCTTACAGAGGCAGTTTGGTCTGGTCATCTGCGGTGCCATCAGTACCAAACTGTAGGTGGTCATGGAGGTCCTTCTAGATCCACCTTCTCTCCATATTTTTCTGTAAACAGAGGCTAGATGGATTGCGTAAAGTCTCTAATGTGAAGTACAAAGACTGCTGGTTGACACTGGAAGTCACAGCATTCTGCTGGAAACGACCTCTTACATTATGCCTCCAACTATCAACTACAAACTTCCTCATATAGTACTGCTTCATCAAGCGGTTCCATGCAAGCGGACCAGAACCTGTCATTGGTATCGCTTTAGGCAATGCCAAACAAGGATTAAACACCTGGAAGACAAAAAGATGTATCTACTTCTGGCGAAACCTTCCAGGATTGGCTCACTCCAAGGCTTTCAAAGTTTGGCAAAGACGCACTTCCACCATCTGACCTGAAAGATCACTGACCATATGGAATAATCAACTTCGTTAAGGAGCTGGGTTCATTTAGTGGAGTGTGAGTTGGTGTGAACCACAATGCAGGTAGCGGTGACAGGTTGAATAGACCCCATCTACTTTTGACAGAATCTAACCTAACCTAACCTAGACGGGCGTTATTAACCTCTTCAGGGACGAATTATTTGATTGAAAGAAAAATCATGGCAGATTTTTTTACGCTTTTAATATTGATGAATTATTACAGAAAAATATTGAAAATATTGAAAAGCGATGGACGCTTTGAACTCAAGTAGAGATATCTTTAGATTCTTCGCTTGTCGGTAAAGTAACCATGCGTTTATTATGGCTACATTCAAAAAGTGAAATGCAATACGCATAGAATTTTTTGTTTTTTAGAGCATGTGGGTAATGGGCAATCATTCTATCTGCCAAGTCCACTCCTCCCATAAATCGATTATACTGAATAAGCCTGTGGTCTTGAAACATCCTCATATAATTCAGTTTTCCTATTCTATCTTCGAACTATATCTTGGGGATCCTAGCCAACAAATGATGAAATCATATGAACAAGATTATTGTCCACCCAGCGCAGTACTGTAATGTTATTCGAGGATGTTGTTACAAAACAGGAACCTCTACCCTTCTTCTGAAGTACTTTTCCATCAGTCAAATTTTTGCATGCTTCTTTGATTCTATTTATTCGAACAGTTCCTACCACATGGATACCTGAATTCATCAACTTAGTAACTGTAGGAACTGAAGTAAAAAGATCATCCAAAAATATTTTATGATTCAAACCATCAAGACCTTCACACAGTCGGACAACTGTATCTCCAGTCACACCCAATTCTGTTGTGGTCTGATTTTTTGAAGACTGGTACATCTCAAATTTGGATACATAACCATCTGCTGAAGCTCTTACCCAAACTTTGAAACCCCATTTTTTCGGTTTGGATTTTATATATTGCTTGGCTCTACTTCTTCCTTTGAATAGAATGATCATCTCATCAATTGCCATGTATTCCGTAGGTGTAGCAGCAGCAGCAAATGACTTTTCCAAAATATCCAGATAGGGTCGTACCTTGATGAAGCAATCTTTATTATGTTCTGGTATCTCATCATTATTTAGAAAATGAAGGTATCGCTTTATTTCCTCATATCTTTTCAAAGACATTGCATTAGCAATAAGGTCAAAACCTAAGCCTGGAGTTGAAGACCAGTACATGCGAAATGCCGGATACTTTATGTATGTCATGATAATATTTATGGCAAAAAAATGCTTCATTTCACTCACAGTGACATTGAATGAATGTTTTCCTGATTGGACCGCATAACGTATCGTTTCTTTAGTTGTGAGATCAAATATTTCTTCTGGAAATAGTTTTGAGAAAAATGCATATGGTGTATCTCCCGTAACATTGATGAGGTGCTGACCTTGAAATATTGGTGCCTTCCCTTTATGGGCATTGTCTTTCCCAGAATACCATACGAGAGGTTCTTCGATAGCATCAATTGCAGAAACGGAACTGACTCTGTATTTATTAGCTATTTCACTGAGTGGCAAATCATATTCACTATCTTCACTTGACTCTGAAACATCATCTTCGATTTCAGTAGGACGGTGAGGCACACCAAATGATACATCAAAATCATCATCTGAATAATCATTCTCCACCAATTCAATTTCGTCCAAATCGGAATTATTTGGATTTTGAATAGAGTCCAAAATACGAACAGTCCCTTTACTCGTTCCATAAAATGTTTTTACAGGTATTTCGTCACTCATTATGATCTCCTGCCTGGAATAAAAACAGATTATATACAATACCTGATATTTTTTCAAACCTATATATTCAGCACACATTTGCACAATGTACACATATGCGGCCATATACTCCATCGAGCATACGGTTGAAGATACCAACACAATTACATGTTTCTAGTGATGAATAATTAGCTAGCAAGTTCTCGAAACACTTACCTATTTTTATTTCTCCAAAACTCAATTATGTTGCTGACGAAAGGAAGTGGTAAATTGGTGAATATAACCTCAAAACATGCAGGAACCCCCTAGCCGGCAACAGGTAGTATGAAGCGAATCTGACTCATATTGCATATGCGTATGTTGCCTCCGGGTACATTTGAACCAATAATATTATGATGTAAATCGACTTTGAACCAAATTTACACATATGTGCTTATATCCTTCAAGAGGTTAAGGTCGGATCGTAGCGCTGCGCCTGTAGGAAAACAAATAAAGAACTCTCGTTCCCTGGGGCTTCTGCATGTATTCTTTCTGCAGGACTCGACCAAAGTATCATCGTACCTCAACCAACAGGTGTAGCCGATGAGGAAGGCATCGGTTACTCAATGTCCCATGTTGGCCACTTGGCCGTCGTGGTACACGACTGCGAAAAACTTGTACTGCTTCTCCTCTGGAGACTTTATTTTCTAATACATTTTCAAATCAAGTCCGAATTCCATAGCCATGAAAATCTTTTTGCAACTGTCCTGACTGTTATCAAAAAACTTCAAAGTCAATATGAGAATAACGGTGGGTTCGCAAAGTACAACTCCATTCCACGCTTCGATCTGGTCATTAGCTCTCGATGAAATCATCTCCTCTAATCTACTTTTGGATACAAACACCCCAATCGCTTTCCTGCCAGTCTTACCTTTCGCAATGTTGAGAGCGTGAGAAAAGAAAGTCAACAGTAGGTTTTCCCTCTTCAGTGTAACATTCAAACAAATCCATTAATTGCAACAGTCCATCATTTAGACCAGTCAGAAACTCTTTTGCATCTTGCTGTCTACCCTTTATCCAGCCGGTCCGCATGCTATGCAACATTTCATAAATCTACGTCGAGCCTAATGGAGGGCTCGTGTTGATGATAACTGCTTGGTCGTATGGTATTTTGCGATATTGATTTCGAAGGTGAAAATACTTATGGCACTTGATTTTTATAGAAATTTCAGTACGCTGTTGATTCCTTCATGATATAGATAAGAATCTGAAAATCGGAAAGTCAACAAGATTACGCGTAGATTGATATAATTTAAACATTCACCAGCCATCTGGGAGTCCCACACCTGATGATTTACATTGCAACATTCCTTTGACTACCACCCGCTAAAAACTACAAACCCCAGTCACACCGACGAGCAATATATCATATTGCACGCGGCAGAGACGTTAAAATGATTTATTTTTCGCAACAGGAAATATAATCGTAGCTGTCGTGCTAATATGAGAGTGGTTGGATATTTAGTAGTCCTTTGTTCCGTTGCTACAGCTGGAAACACATATCCGTGTTATTCCACGTGGTTACACAGGTATGAAGCGGGGTGAGTGATGTAAATAGGGGGATGGGGGAGAATTCGGTTATGGTTTCCAAGAGTAAAATTACAGATTTCATGAAATACTTTCAGTAGCAGAGAGGTATGTAAAGAGATTCCTCATCCGACGAGAGATGTCGAAGCTAGGCTTTGCAATGGATCGCCTTTGACCCCCATTCATCTCTGAAAGACGGAATCTTCTCATTCTGAGAAATAGGATCATCAATAAATTTTTCCTTCCATTTTATTGCAGGTTTTTGCTAGACATATCTCCTAAACATGTTCCAGTCCCTTACCCGAAAAAAAAAATGTTGTCCACATGATACATCCTTTGACGTAAGAAAACGAGAAGACATCACTAGGTGGCAAATCTGGACTGTTTGGCGGTTGAAACATATATTCAATGTTTTGAGCGCTGAAAAAGTTAGATAAAATATATGAGAGCGTCATTTGGATGAAGAATCATCCAATGGTAGTTGTTGGTTTTCCTTCCATATTTCCCTTCAGAAAAATTGACTGCTTGGTGTTCTTTGTGGGCTGGTGGAATCATTGGACCGTACTTCTTCAAACACCATGCTGGTCAGAACGTTACAGTCGATGATGACCTCTATAGAGCCCGAAACGATTGACCACTGAGTGGTCAACATTCGCCGCATTATTGTCGATATACGACCACAAATGTAGAAATTGAACGAAACGACTATTACAACAACTGTTCAAAGTGACGACCTCCAACAGTAATACAAGCTTCTGCTCTCCTCATCAAAGAATTCCGCACCTGTTGAAAAATGCCCGGAGTGTTTCTTATCGTTGCGATCCCTCAACATTTTCACGTTTTCAATGGGGCTAGCATAAACTAGTGATTTTAGGTGTCCCAAAAAAATCGACGGGATTGAGGTCCGTCACCTCAGGGGCCAAGGCTCAGTGCCTCCTCTTCCTATTCATCGTTGGGGATATTCTACGTCTAAAAAATTTCTTGCTGTCACACTAAAATGAGCAGGAGCTCCATCGTGCATAAACCAAGAGTGATTTCGGAGACCAATGGGTACATCTTCCATAAGTTGGGGAAGCTCGTGTCCAAAAAAATGTAGATAAGCATCTCCACGTATGGGGAGAATCCAACCAATTAAATAATCCCCAATTATGCCTTCCCATACATTAAAAGAGAATCTGTCTTGGAAATGAGTGCGTTATCACATGTGGGTTATCTTCCGCCCAGATGTGGTTGTTATGGAAGTTCATGATACCATTTCTTGAAAAATTAGCCTCATCTGTGAAGAGGATTTTCGATAAAATTTGCGGATGTTGTTCGACTTTTGTTTGAAGCCATTGAGCAAATTCGATACGTGGTTGGAAATCACGTAGAGTAAGTGCCTGGTCACGCTGTTCCTTTAAAATTCTGTAAACTGTCATGTGACTCACATTTAAAGTTTGACTAATTTTTCTTGCACTTGTCTCTGGATGAACCATTCATAGCCTTCTCGATTTAATTACCTCAATTTGCAAGCAGAGAGTAACAAAAATTATTTAAATCAAAGTTGGCTATAAGGTAACATGCATCGATATAGAAAATTGTAAATATCTCGAAAACGATCTCCTCCAGCGTTGTTGAGGAGGTGTACCTTTTTCACTTGGAAAAGGTGTGGAAATTAGGTTTTTCAATGAAAAGTGCCAAAAGTTTACTGTCAAAAAAGTTAGGGCAATTTGAAATAAATAATGACAGCATACGCAGCGCCCCTGGGTATCAAATTTCGTGCATATAACTTATTTTTTGCAAGAGTTATTTTCAAATGCCGAAATGAAGCATTTTCAGATCAAGTTCATGAAGACTTTTTTTCTTAAAAATGTCTCAGAAATACGCCATTAGAATATTTTAACATACTTATGTTACACCCTGTATATAGCACAATGACTTCAGAGTTTAATTGCCTTCAACTGAGGTTTGATAACATAGGCACAAATCCTGAGTTTTACATCTATAAATCATATATGGTTCAAATAACGGCTTTCAGCATGTTCACAAAATAAGCAGGATAACTTATATTTCCGACTCTTCATGTACCAAAATATCAGTACAAAAATATCATATTATGATGAAGAGTCAACCCATTTTTTCCTCGATTACAAAAAATCACAGAATCAAAATTTCAATAACTAATTACATGTGGCAACCATGTCAGCAACCCCGCTGTGTTACTCTAGCAAAACTTCATTACAAAAGTTGATGAGCTTCGCCACAATTCGTGCATAAGTAAATAGTGGAAATGTCGCTTACAATCCCAGTTCCACATTCGGAATATCTGCTTGATTATTCTGTACAAATTGTGGTCAGCGCTTGGCACGGCAGTCTAGAAACCCACGTTAATCCTTCATTGTGATATTTGTACGGGTATATCTCGAGCTAATTACTTTACCTCTTCAATTTATCAAGGACTGAGAATAGGAGACTGACTCTCAGGTCAGGAAATATGGTTTTCATTATAGTATATACGATGTCAATTCGAATGGCATAAAAACTAAATAGTTACCGAACGTCGGTAGTTTCTTTGTATGGCATGGGCGGCGTGGTATAATATGTGGTCTAATCATTATTTTTATGTGGGAGGTTTTATATGGTATCAACTAGCAACTTTATCAGACCCACCACATTAGTCTTTTATTTAGCTGTTCAAATTGATTTTGTATAGACTGTACCACTGTTACAAGAAATGACAGGTAAAGGAGGCATTATGTTTGGTGAAGCAATACCATGCAATCAATAATGGGATGTATGATGATCTGCAAAAGTCCAACAGAAATAAACTCGATGTACAGATTTACCAAAACCCATGCCTGTAA